TACCCTTGTGCACAAGTGCGCTCGGGTATAAAAATTGTTGCATATATTGTGAAAAATTTGCTGCATATGCAGTCGTAAATGATAAGAGCTACAGAAAAAAATGTAAATGACAAACTTGTCTGAAATTCAGTTCCAGACCACCAAATCGCGAACATCGATATTTCTGGAGATGTTAGGCTTTGAAGTGAGGTAGTGTGGAATTTTTCATGGATTTTAGAGCTACATTGTTGAAATTGTTGGTGTATGTGGCTGTTCTGTCATCTTTATTAAACGAGTTGGCTAATTTTCGAAACATTTATAGGTTAGGTAGAATGAAAACCGATTCCTTATACGTTCTAGGTTGAAGAGAGTAACATTGCTAGGTTATATGGAATATTTGGCACCAATTGTGAAGACGATTGTTCAGCATCAATAAGAGTTACAGGTTTTGCAGGATTTAGTCCCAAAAGCGTAACAGCAGACAAATTTCCTGTTACTAATAGTTTTTTTGTGAGAGTAAAATATGCTCACTCTTAATTAGAAGTTGAAGAATTTAGTCCGAAGTTTTTGTTCTGGTACATTTATGAAAACTTTCAAATAAAGAGCAGTGAGCACAAGTGAAAGAGCTGAAACAAAAAGCCGATTTCGCAAAATAACGAACATTTTTTGTGTAAGAATTTTTGCGCCTGCCTGAATAAATATTTCTGTTGAAAAATATCAGACATTTATATACGCGCTGGAAAAATGGTTTTTTTGCGACCCAGGAGTTTTTGCTCAGTTCTTCACCCATTGCTCTCTTGCGAGAGCTATTTTGCTATTTGACAGGTCTACAGGATTAAGTCCAAAAACATACATCATATTTTTTCTGCACAAAGTAAAAAAAAAATTATTTAAAAAAAAACTTATTTTGTAGAATACTAAAACAGTTAGACGCAAAAAAAGTATTCTGTATTAAACTTTTCAATAAACTTTAGAGTATTTAAATAAACTGCTGCCAAGGTTCAGCTGGCGCCATCATGGACCAAAGGTACACGAACCGTGTCAGGGATTGATATATTTAAAAACATAATTGAAAGTAAATTTATTTACTATGCGTGGTTAGTAAATAATATAGCACTAAATGATATGAACTTCAATCGGAGTTCATAATGAATTACTAGCACGCACACGCAATAATCCCTATATTAAACGAAAAATAGTAAAACTAAAAATCTTTATAAGCTAGTACAACATTACTTACATGATAACCCATCAATATAACACACAAATTGCGTTCATAGGTATACAGCATAAATAAACTGTGAACAAACCACGTTGCACAATGGGACAACACCGGGTGAAAATAGAAGATATGCATTACCTTTTTATGAAAAATTACAAATCTACGCAAATTTTTTGCAGGATATCCAACTATGTATTTAAAATCAAGAAGAATTTTCAAAAAAGTAAGATAAGTTAAAAAAAATTAATAAGTTAAAAAAAATTAATAAGTTAAAAGATAAGTACATTATTGATATTTCTGAAAGAGGAAAAAAGAAAAAGACGGCACAAAAGACCAGGAAGAAGTAATTTTAAATGAATTCAAGAAGACATTTCACAAAACTAAGAAGTGTACCTTTCTAAATGATACAATTAAGCCGATTTTCTCCATCATTTTTAAAAGATATTCCTATAAATAAAATCAATAAGAACTTCCATATGAAATCAGTAAGATATCTCCATGGAATTTTCTTAATTTTTCCATCTGTTTTATCACTTAGCCTAGGATCTTTTCACAGAGACAATCTTTTGTTTCTAAATATAGTTCATTTTTTTTCTCCATGTAGACGAGTATAAAGTACAGACAATGCTAATAAATAGATTTGAAAGAGTAGATGTAAATTTTGTTTATCCTGACCCACTGTCCGTCATATTGCCAGAAAACCTGTCAACGGGCAGCTCTAATCAATGAACTGGGAAAAAGGAATGTGAGTGCTAATGCCGGTGTTTACACAGCCATATGTACATATGTAGATTCATACATACATGTGTGCCTACCTAGGCTTATGCGTCAATGAATGAAAGTACCCAGCAAAAAACCCAATTACCTCAGAAATGAATGCTGCATCGAAAGTAAAGTTGGCAAGCGCTTCCCCTTTTGCTTCTAGCAGGCATTACTTTAACATGGGCATGTAATCGGCGGTAATGGCTTGCAGAGGACTTTGCCTTACCAGTAATGGGTTAAAGAAGCGAAAGACATTCCAAAGTAATACTTTCTAGAATACGTTCCCAGCAAAAAATCTCGAATGGCTTTAAGTGGCAACGTGTTTCTGAAGGTCAAAACTGTCCTTCCCTTCCCATTTGCAAGCCATTACTGGCAATGACATGCCCATGTTAAAGCGCAAGAAGTGAAAATGGAAGCGCCTGCCAATTTTTTTTCAATTCCTCATTCGTTTTTTAGGACTACCACAAGAAGCTATGCCAGATTTTTTGCTGGGTAAATCTTCGGTTTTTTCTTGTGATTTTATACAATTTTTTTTTTCGCCCTGCGAATCTTCAAATATTTAATTTGGCTATTATCGCTTAAGTTTGGCGGTTGCGCACGTGGTGTATCGATCCGTAGTCGCAGCTGTATCTTTTGTGAATATAATTGATGCGAGCACTGCTTCTCTTATATGCAAATAGGCGCAGCAAAACATATTTATTTATGCTAGTAGTGGTGCGTTTGCTGACACAGCAATTGTAGGTGGAAAATGATCTAGGAAAGCATTTTATAAGAAATTGATATATCAGTAAGAAGTAACTAGCGCCATATAAAAGAGCATCGCGCACTTTCAGAGCAATAAAACTACATTCGACGTCAGTGATCAAGGGTCTTCACTTACGGACACAAACGAGCTGTACACTGGAACAGCAGTGCGGAATCACAGAATAATTATTATATAATAAAATAAAATACAAATCAACAAATTCATTATGAAATCAATAACAATTTGTGCGCTGCTAGTGGTATTTTTTATATGCCAGACATACGCCGTTCCTGTGGCGATAGTGGAAGTGCCTGTTGTAGAAGTAGCAGGCGTAGCGCCAGTTAGTCTTTTGGATATTGAGAACGACGATCAATCGAAAGTGGATGCGACAATGGATGATGCGCCGCGTTCAACACGTGGCTTAGGTTTGCTTTTAGGCAAATTTGGTGGCGGATTGGGTGGATTCGGTGGACTAGGATCACTTAAGGGCTTCGGAGGACTTGGTGGTTTTGGTGGCCTTGGTAGTTTGAAAGGGTTCGGCGGCGGATTTGGTGGTGGCTACAAACCTTTCTTCGGCAAGCTTTGGTAGAATAACAACAATAAAACTAATCATACGAAGAGAAATAGACAGGAATATTATAGTTTTTTAAAGTGCAAATACCTCCAAATGTATACATGTATGTATGTTGGTACATACATATGTATGCAAGTGCCCAGTGAATACCAAAATTTTATATTAAACATAATTAGCTAATAAATTTTTGTAAAAGAAATCTATAATAATAAAGTAAGGTAAACTTTAGCAAACTTTTTTCAAGTACTTGGATGAGCTTCTCCCCGTACAATTTTACGTCGACTTCTCGCCTTCGAACGGCAAGTGGTTTTTGTGGCAGTCGTCGCTAATGTCGACGGAAGATCAACCGCTAAGGGTAAGATTTTTTTAAAGGTTGCTCGGGAAAGGCATGAAACTGTGTCCTGCGCCCTGAAAACGGGATAAACCTTATTTTTGATTGGCGCTGTAACTAGATAAGCTATACAAATAAAAATGTATTTGTATTTTAGGATCATAAAGACATAGACAATTAAATTATCGATTTTTGGTAGAATATAATTTCTTTACGATCATTAAAAACTTTTTTGAAGTTTTTTTATTTTGAAGAATAAAAATCGCAAACTTAAATGGCAAAAATTGTCTTAGATATTTTAACTGAGCGGAAAAAGTTTGTTATGCTAGTTGTTTACGAAGCCCACGGCAAAAAAGCCAAAGAAAGAAAAGAAGCTCTAAAAAAAGTAGCCTACAGGTGCCCTTATAATAAAAGCGAAATATATAAATAGTGGGGGAATATTAGTGAAATGCAAAAATAAAGACGCTTGTGAACAAGTGCAACAAATTGGAAATTAATACGCTGCCCGAAAACAAAAGAGGAAAATTGTATTTATTTTCGAAGAATACTTAACCGAGCAGAACGACGCTTGTTCTGGAATAGAGTTCAAAGTTCTAAAGATGTATGATAATGCAAATAACAGGGAGGTAAGTTATATTGCATTGTTAGAAACCACACAAAGCCACTTATGAAAATGTACTTAAACGAGAAAAGAGTTAACATCGAGTTGGACACTTGCGTCATTTACGAATATCTATACGTATTATAGCCCGAACACAATGAAAACGACCAGCTACGGGCCACAGCTGCCAAATTATTTTTCGACGTATTCTTATGTAGATATTTATTTAAGCGACGACTGTGGTTATGGCCAGGTTAGATCTGTTTCTGTTTTTCCAGCCATAGATAAANCTGCCAAATTATTTTTCGACGTATTCTTATGTAGATATTTATTTAAGCGATGACTGTGGTTATGACCAGATTAGATCTGTTTCTGTTTTTCCAGCGACAAATAAAGTTCTTTCTCCTCTTTTATGTCAAACTCATACAAATTCCTGATGTCGCTGCCGCATTCAAAAAATTCATGTCGCCATCGACAAAGCGTTTAGATAATGAGGATAACAAATTGGAAGCTATGGCCCGTAGCTCATCATTTTCAATGTGTTCAGCACTTTACGATGCTATAAATGTCTGGTATATGTATAAGCACAAAGCGTGTGAAGGCACTAATAAAATAGTACGTAGCACATGCGCTGGAAATCATGATAGCAAAGAATGTACCTCAATTATCATTAAATGTGTTAAATGCTAAACTGTAGAGAAAAAAAAAATAGCCGCCTATTCGGTCAGGCTCAGGCTTTGAGGTTTCACCTGGAAAGAGTGCATTGAATAATNTGGCCCGTAGCTCATCATTTTCAATGTGTTCAGCACTTTACGATGCTATATATGTCTGGTATATGTATAAGCACAAAGCGTGTGAAGGCACTAATAAAATTGTTTGTAGCACATGCGCTGGAAATCATGATAGCAAAGAATGTACCTCAATTATCATTAAATGTGTTAAATGCTAAACTGTAGAGAAAAAAGAAATAGCCGAATATTCGGTCAGGCTCAGGCTTTGGGGTTTCACCTAGAAAGAGTGCATTGAATAACATCTCTTATAATTCTTTGCTGTTCTGGGCCTACATTCCGTCCTCAGTTTTAATAAGTCCTTTAACGATAGTACATTTGCAAATAACTTTCCTTTACCCTATGACTACATTCAATTTGANATCTCTTATAATTCTTTGCTGTTCTGGGCCTACATTCCGTCCTCAGTTTTAATAAGTCCTTTAACGATAGTACATTTGCAAATAACTTTCCTTTACCCTATGACTATGACATTCAATTTAATTTAGATTAAAGCCGGCTACCTATTTACCACGACTGAGAATGATCTACTGCAGCAGTCTTTCAGTCATCTGAATACCATATGTGACTATCCTTAACGGATTTTTGGGGACTATTGTCCCCATTAATTCTGCTGGCAAAAATATCTTAAATTTAGGTGTACATGTTCATCTTTTTCTATAAAACTGAAAATGAATTGGTTTATAATTGGAGTTATTCGAAAAATTTTAATTTGAAAAACACGGTTAAGTATTTCGAAACTAAAAAAAAAAATCGGAAAAAACGGTTTTATTTTACATAGTTTTCATACAGTGAAAATTCTTATATTGTTATAAAGTAATGACCAAACACTACAATAAAACTATTAACGTTAAAGATGGCTTTTATTTAGAGCTATGTAAAATAATTTCAAAGTTTTTTAGATCAAAAATAAAACAAATAAAAGTAAGTTAAAAATTCACGTTTGGTCTTATTTCAACTTTTTATATTGCCGCCATAGTCGAGTGTTTAGATGTGCCTATTGCTATTCGAGAGATCCATGGTTCTATTTCTGGTCCCAGCAACATTCAACATTCCTCCGAGTATAATTCTTCGGAGCTGAAGTAAAAGTGTAGATTTCTCCATTCAAGGGTTTCTCTTAAACTGGAAAAAGCCTTGAAAGCTTCGAAAAACTAAAAACTTTTACTGAGTGGTCAAGATGTGAATTAATTGATATTCGAAAAATCAAGGTTTCAAAAAACCGCCCGTAGATATCCAGAAAAACCGAGTCAATCACCCTAATATATAAGCTTCTTATGATTCCCATTGAATCCTAAGTAAGAATTGTTTTTTTTTTATTAAAGCGTGTAGAAGTCTAGAAAACCATTGATAACTGCGGTGGGGGTTTGTGCTCCCACTACACTAGTGATACCTAGGCTGGCTAGTCGTTGTTTGTATGTAGTTTACTGAGCTTGGACTGAGTAGAATTTATTTCTGTCTACTGCTACCAGATTCAAATGAAGGTCCTACTTATTATATAAGTACACCTTTTCTACATAAAATAATGATTATTGCGGCCGGTTCCATTTCCTCGTGAAAATGACTATCTGTATTGTCACAGCAGCTTTCCAGTGATATTTTCTCAACTTCTCTTATTTATTTCTTGTAAAACCTAAGGAGACATTTATACTCCTTCCAGCATTATGTGGCTTTCGCTGGCTTGAAGAATTCCCTCACCACCACCGTGCTCTGGCTTATTCACTGAAAGTAATAAAAGTAAAAGTTTTATTATAAAATTCATACTTACTAAGTAGTGATTTATTTCCAATTTTATTACGTTTTCTTTTGTTATTAAAATTATAACTTAAATAAGTGAATATGCTTATCTATACTTGTAATATTTATTACTAAGCCAAATCGCCTATGTTTGTTTTATTTTCCATAATCAAACTTGTATTTTCTATAACTTCGTTCACCACGTCCTCAGCAGTACCAACCATCTCTAGGCCTGTAGGCATTATTTTCAATGGCTCAAATGCTTGATCCACCTTTTCTGGCTGCATTTCAACGATGCTATTATTATCTTCATTCATTTTATTAGCATTCTCCCTGCGATTCTTCAATCGTAGCCGCCAACGCCTTATAGGCCGATTCACTAAACCGATTGAGGTATTTTGATCGAAGAGTGGAAAATTTAGATTAGGAGTCCTAGTTGAACAAACGGTTAACTGTATTCCGGATTCTGGTACGTAAATTGCTAGCAATTTTACCTAATTGAAAACGAGAGCCAATAAATATATTATCCACAGCTTTTTGCAAAGTAGAATATATATTATATATGTAACTATGAAACGTAATTCGAAATCGAAATATTTTTATTAACTTATTTTATAACTTTAAAGAATTTCTTTGTTGTAATGTATGTACTTTTATACATTTTCGTACTACTACTTACGTTCTTCATCCCACAAATTGCTGCTGTTGTTTTCTTTTCCGTCCCATGCTGCCGCTTGTTCCTCATCATAAAAAGATTTCCCTTTACTGTCATCTTCAGTGCGGCTCAGCATAAAAGCGTTACATAATATCAACAACAACAAACACAATTCTTTGCTCATGCTTCCTTCCAATATTCGACAAAGTCTTTGACTAGTCAATACTTCAATGCCACAATTCGTCAAAGGGCTCTTTTATTTATACTTAACTGTATCAAAAATGTGACTTAGTGCGTTTTCACAACGAATAGGCAAGTATTCAGTACAAAAATTGCAGGTTAACTGATACATGTGAGTTAGCGCACCACTGTGAAAACGGCCCTTAATATCTTTAAAAATTTTAATTATCTACTTAGAAAATGAAAATAAATATATACAGGTTTATTATATTGTTAATGGAATGTAAATTGTCTACTTAGTATCTAGATATTTTAATGAGTAAGTAATCTGAATGCTTTATTAAGTGACTTTCTCCTCTGAAGTAATTCGATGAATTAAGTTAAAAGTAATTAAATATAAACATTTTTGTGTTGGGGCAAACTTCTGCTCCACTCTTTGGTGTGCAATCTTCATGGTATCACACAATATGAGAAGATTTTTCATGTCAGAAATTTTTTCGGTCTTACTAAGCGGTGGCACTAGGGTGTTCGATTATTTGTGTTTTTCCTAAACCGGTTTTAGAGCTATTCGCAAAATTGCAATTTGAAAAAAAACCGGTTCCCCATCGGTTTATGCGATATTCGGAAAAACAAGATTTCAAAACTAAAGCCTATAGATAACAAAAAAAAAAATGATGGAAACCAAGCTACTAATTACAAATTATAGGCATTTATATTGTAGTAAAT